ATATATATATATATATATATATATATATATATATATATATATATATATATATATATATATATATTTACACGTATATATACTTCTAAAAGTCGTGTATCATGCATAGGAACGTTGACGCCTGCAAGGCTCTGGTTTAATTATATTTTATACTGTGAATGATATAATAAATAGAAATATTCAGCTCACCACTCCCAAGGCTCATATACAGACTGTATTATGGAAACTAGACATAAATGATATACTTGAAGACAGTTGCGTAATTTGAATAAATTCAATTTAGCCCAACGCATGGTGTCTACTCATCTGACATGATCTTAAAAAACATCAAAATAGATGCTGCCCTCTATATTTTAATAAACTTGCTATCTCAATAACACAGACCATGTTCCCATTGATTTGTTAATCTAACAGGATTACTCTGGTTATGGTGTTGCTGTTATTATTAATTTGAGCATAGATAGGCCTATTATTGAATTTTAAAAATGTGTACCCTGATTTTTAGGTATTGTGTCATTGAATAAGACATATTAGTAATACAATAAAACCTCGTTTTTTTTTTTGGTTTTTTTTGCGAACTTTGGATGGGCTTCTTTTCGAGAGGGGCTACTTTTCGAGATGGGCTTCCTTTCGAGCCTACTTTTGCAAAGTAAAGAGGGGGGCTTTTTTTCAAGATGAATGCTGGAAATTTTGTGATTTTGTACAATTAAACAATAAATAATTCAATGTAACATCATTCTGTATTGTGGAGTGTATTGAACTGGCATTAAATCACCTAAACTAAGGTATAAACCAAACTTGTTTTTAATTTAATTTGTTTTCTGAAATCCATGCACAGTATATGTACTGTACTATCTCGAAAAGAAGCCTATGCTATTTTGAAAAGAGTCCCATGGGCTTCCATTTCAATATGGGCTTCTTTTCGAGATTAAGCCCACTGGGCTTCAATTCGAGGTTTTACGGTATATAATTTATATTTCGTTTTTAATAAAGCAGTATTTAGCATTTGAATTAAAATTTTATTTATTACAATTTATATACAAAAATAGTCAAATTCATTTAGTTGTAAAATTAGTTTTCATTGCTTTGTAGATCATTACATTGTATCATTATTGTTTTTATTGTAGCTTCTCAAACTGTAAAGAAAGTGATAGAGATAAACCCGTACCTGCTAGGGACAATGGCAGGTGGAGCGGCAGATTGCTCGTTCTGGGAGCGATTCTTGGCTCAGCAATGCAGGTAAAATTTCATTGTTTATTATGTTTTTCATTTTTGAAAAAATGTTAATGCAAGACTTTATTTATACCGTGTTTAACAAACATTCCTTTTGACAGATCATCAGAGAAGGACAGAACAATACTACCAAAAAAAAAATGTTTATTCATCTAGCATTCAATAGTACTGTATTGATATTACAATACTTTGTATTTTATATGTAGCTTAATTACTTTATTCATTTTGTTGGATGTTGGGGCTGTATAGTCACTTGAAATTGATTACATTTGCCTCCCAATCTTCTCTACATTCTGTTTTGTGTACCATTTTTTTTTTATATTGATTTTTTTAAAGTGACAATATGTGAAATGCAGATGAAATGAAATTTATTCATTACTTCAACATGTGATTCATTAAAATGTGTATTTTGAATTATATACTTAATGGATCACAATACACTATTTAATATACTTAATGAATCACATATTGCATCAAGGACTGTACAACGACTTATACATAGTCCTTAATTACACAGTGCATTTTGGATTATATTGTAAAATATACTTAATGAAGCACAATATGCTGTGCAATATACTTAATGAATCAAAAGTATATTATATAGTGCACTTTTTTTGGATTATTTTAGCATTCCATGTGATTGCAAATCACTTGATGCCTTAAAAAAAAAATTGAAGTGCCACCTTTTTTTAGAGTATTAAGCTATGCACAGTTACCTAGCGCTCAGTATAAATAAAGATTGGAATGACTAAATTGTCGTCAGGATATTGAAAAATAGGCATATTGAAAATAATTTGATTGCTCCAACTTGCACTAATGTAAAAAATCATTCCATTTCTCAACTAATTTGGATACTGTACATTCATTATGTGTTTGAACACACAAAGAGACCAGTTTGTTTTCAGAAACATTAATGTGCAAAATGAAAAAGTAAATAGATTTTCTGATAAATTCATAAAAAGAAGGAAGAACAGCAGTAGAGAACATGGCACTGGCGCTACAATATTAACGAGGTGTAATAAAATGCTATGCTGCCCTGGCAACTCATATTAAAAATGTTGACATTTACCGTAAACGTTCTTGTTATGTTATAATATCTCATCAAGTATCATATTTCGTGTTTGTATTGCATATTACTTTTGAAATCAAACATCTGTCTACTAAACATGATGTCCCTGCATTTATTAGTTATCTTTAGATGCTACTGTATTATTCTTATCGCTGTTTATCAAAACCATCAATCAAGATTCCTTTGTTGTCAATATCATAATGCAATGTATTGAGATTCAGTGAAATTATTGCCAACCCAGCTTTGTGTAGAAAATTTGATTCGATGAGTTTTTTCATAAATCCATGTTTGTACAGCACAGCAGTTGTTCATCTTGCTTAGTCCAGTAAATAGATTTTCTGATAAAGTAATAAAAAGAAGGAAGAACAGCAGTAGAGAACATGGCACTGGCGCTACAATATTGACAAGGTGTAATAAAATGCTATGCTGCCCTGGCAACTCGTATTAAAAATGTTGACATTTACCGTAAACGTTCTTGTTATGTTATAATATCTCATCAAGTATCATATTTCGTGTTTGTATTGCATATTACTTTTGAAATCAAACATCTGTCTACTAAACATGATGTCCCTGCATTTATTAGTTATCTTTAGATGCTACTGTATTATTCTTATCGCTGTTTATCAAAACCATCAATCAAGAATCCTTTGTTGTCAATATCATAATGCAATGTATTGAGATTCAGTGAAATTATTGCCAACCCAGCTTTGTGTAGAAAATTTGATTCGATGAGTTTTTTCATAAATCCATGTTTGTACAGCACAGCAGTTGTTCATCTTGCTTAGTCCATATGTGGTTTTAGATTATAAAAGCGTGTTTATAGACACAAATCAACATTTCTATTGAATAAAGACAATCGTTTTCGGTGGCGGGTTGTGCAATTGTACACTGTAATTTGACAACTCATATAAAAAACACTAATTGAAGCGTTGATAACACTTTATTTGACAATAATCTAATAGAAACAAACTTATAGTAGATGTTTTAAATACTAACATTGATGACATCATCATCCATATGAGGCATACGTAAAACTGAGGGTTTGTATAATAACTGAGGTACCTAAAAACAAGGTTCTACTGTATCCATTTATACTTATGGGCAAGCTGTAAAAAAGGTAAATTAATTAAAATCTAAAACATTGTCTAGGACATCTACATTTAAAGATATTAATTTTTTTTTTCAGACTTTATGAGCTGAGAAATAAAGAGAAAATTTCAGTTGCAGCAGCATCTAAACTTTTGACAAACATGGTACTCAACTACAAAGGAATGGGTTTATCAATGGTAAGTTACTGTTGCTCCCAAATACAGCTTAAACAACTGTGATCCGGGGCTGATTAGGGGGACTGAACTTTTGACAAACATGGTACTCAACTACAAAGGAATGGGTTTATCAATGGTAAGTTACTGTTGCTCCCAAATACAGCTTAAACAACTGTGATCAGGGGCTGATTAGGGGGACTGAACTTTTGACAAACATGGTACTCAACTACAAAGGAATGGGTTTATCAATTGTAAGTTACTGTTGCTCCCAAATACAGCTTAAACAACTGTGATCAGGGGCTGATTAGGGGGAATTGAACTTTTGACAAACATGGTACTCAACTACAAAGGAATGGGTTTATCAATGGTAAGTTACTGTTGCTCCCAAATACAGCTTAAACAACTGTGATCAGGGGCTGATTAGGGGGACTGAACTTTTGACAGACATGGTACTCAACTACAAAGGAATGGGTTTATCAATGGTAAGCTACTGTTGCTCCCAAATACAGCTTAAACAACTGTGACCAGGGGCTGATTAGGGGGAAGTGTGCTGCCTCCACTTTTGGAAAGTAAAAAAATGAAGAAAAAAAAAGAAATTATTGATCACTTAAAACACCTCAAAAGTTACCTGTGTATCAAGAAAACAAAAATTTCCCGAGGGAATGCCAGAACCCCCTAGCCTAGTGTTGTTTCTTGATTGCCCCCTCCCCCAACCCTTTTGGACAACTCTGGGTCCTCCCCTGGTGATACTGGGAGGATTGGACTCCAAACATTGAGAACATCTCAAATCCTTGTGCCATGCAAAAAACACCAGAAAAACATACTTCCTTCATTATAGACTTATAAATGTCTACAGCATACAGAAACGTAACAGGAGCTCAATTAATTAGTTATCTGTGGGATGGTAAAGCCATACAGAATTCAAATTTATTCAAGTTTACTATTGCAAATTTAAGTATGGAAATATTAAGTGGTTCTCCTGACAACATCAAATAAAATCAATAAAAATCACATGCTAGATTTGTGGGGCTGTTCTCACAGTGCTATATAGATATGATTATTCAAATTAATTCCTGATTACAAAGTACAAGAAATACAGGATGCAGGCTTTCAAGTATTCTTAGTGTTAACTGGTTTTCCTGACAGCATCCAATAAAAATCTATAGAAAAAAAAAGCATGCAATAACAAACTTGTTAAGCACTCTTGTTTTTTGCCAAGTAGTAGTAAGAAGATATTTTTTTTAAGTAACTAAGAAAGTCAAACATGAGTGTAAAATAGAATTCAGGCTAACAATGATAACAATATTGTTTATTTGTTATTTGAAAAATCAATCAGTATATAAAAATGGAAATACTCTACTTTTTCAAATTGGTTTTAGAGTCTTGCATTACTTCGTTTCATTAGTCATACAGTACATAATAATCACATTTGTTAGTGTTCCTTTCACCTAAAAGCAATATGATTGATATACATACTGGTAATTTTCTATGACTGATTAGTAATTAATGAATCATCATTCTTGGATATCCTTGACTTTTATGCCAAAACATAAAACAAATGATAATTACTGGTACTCATATTTGTTCATCTTTTATTTCAGGGTACAATGATTTGTGGCTGGGATAAACGAGTAAGTAGTAGACTCAAATTGTAGGTGAACAATAAATTGTTGATTGTTCATGGAGATATTAATATTTCCTATTATTCCATTGAGCTATAATTCACTGTAAGTACCAGATAATAGGCCTACTCTTATAAAAGTACTTGACCAGGGGAAAATTTAAGGTGGGCTTCAATCTCCCTCCCTCCCCTCCCCGCTCCACTTTCTTTGGAAAGTTTTAAAAAAAAGATGGGAAGAAAAAGAAAGTATTGATCACCCTAAATGCACGTTATGTGATCATCATGGAGTTGAACCCTTGACTTTCCAGCTGGAAGGCTATAGCCTTACTTCTGTGCCACATGCTTCACATAGATACGAGGTAAATAGTTTAATGATTCATTCACATTTTTCCTGCTGATATAATATTAATGATAATCAATTTACAGGGACCTGGTCTGTATTACGTGGACAGTGATGGTACCAGGCTTCAAAATAACATGTTTTCTGTTGGTTCCGGTTCACCTTACGCATACGGAGTCCTTGACAGCGGCTACAGGGAGGATTTATCAGTAGACGAAGCATACGATCTAGCTAAAAGATCCATCTACCACGCTACACACAGAGACGCCTACAGTGGGGGTGTTGTTAATTGTGAGTCACTTGTCTAATTTATATTGATTGTACTGTTTTTATCTGCTAGATGCTAACAATGAGGGCATTGATTTTTGGGTGGATTCTTATTGATTAACTATGGTAGTAAGCAATTTATTATTTTATTACACTAAGCATTTTTTATGACATTTTTTTATGGATGTGTTTTCATAACATCCTATTATATATTTCAATGATTTTTATTGCTTATTGCTTGTATGATTATACTTTTGATGCTGATTGTGATTTGTTGATATTGATGTGAGGATGATGGTATTGTTAAGGTGATAATGAAAGGAAGGTGATGATTATGAAGTTGGTGTGGTGATGATATGATAGTGAATATGATAAATATGATAATTGATGATGCTGATGAATGGTAAAAGAGATGATGATGATGATAGTGATGCTGAATACAGTGCTGTTGATAGTAATAATGTTGGTGGTAGTAATGATGCCAATGGTGGCAGAAGGTGGTTGTGATGATGACAAAGATGATGATAGTGATTGTTATGGTGAAAATAATGACAATGTTGATTGTGACGATGACAATGATGTTGATAATGACTACAATGACAATGATGACGACGTTAATGAAAACGACGACAACGAAAGTGAGAATGACAACGATAATTATGATAATGTACTGACGAAGACTTAAGAAAATTACGACAAGAGGAAGATGATGATAACAATGATTAGAGAAAGTACAGGTTATTTAATTCCCTCATTATTGTGTATTCATAGTGTATCATATGAAGGAAACTGGATGGATCAAGGTGTCACAGTCTGATGTCACCGAACTGCACTACCAATATCAAGAGGAAAAGAAATGCTGATCTTTGTAGCATTCCAGTAATAACATTTGCTATTTTCAGCTTGATTTAGTGCAAAATACTAGCTACCTGTATATGAGTACATTTACAATAAACAGAGATATCACAAAGTAATTGAGAACTGTGATGTCACAGAGCCTGGCTGGTCCCAATCAAAGGAGTGTAGATACTGTATATGCATTAAAGCTTTGGCCACACTATCAAATTTGATGTCACAAATTTGTCTGATGTGCCCATATTTGGGCATGATCATCATATTCTTACATACAGTATACAGGTATGAAGCTTTCGGAGAGTTGCTAGCATTCATTCTCTTGTGCCTATATTTGGGCATAATGATGTCATATTATACCCAAATATGGGCATTTCACATTTTTTGGTCACATAAAATTTGATAGTGTGGACAGAGCTTTAAGCCCTGTCCAGACTATCAAATTTTATTTGACAAAAACATGTGACATGCCTAAATATGGTCATGATGACATCACACCATGACCATATATAGGAACATCATGACCATATATAGGCACATTACGACCATATATAGGCACATCATGACCATATATAGGCACATCATGACCATATATAGGCACATCATGACTATATATGGGCATACAACAGTGTTTCATCAAAGAAAATCTGATAGTGTGGACAGAGCTTAAGATGAGTGCAAGCATGCGTAATGCAGAGTGGCATGGATTGCAAATAGACGACTCTGACATTGTCACGTCAGTTACTGTATGGACAGAGTAAATATCCACAACCCTCAACTGCTGTCCTACTGTATCAATAATTCTACTACCCTGTGCGTAAGAATGTACCCAGTCTGGGAAAAGTTAGTTTAATACAATCATTAGAACAGAGCATATTCCAAAAACCGAAAGGTCCACTGATTAATCTCAGATAAGAAAGTAAAATACATACTCCATGTATTGTAACACTATACTTGAAATATGCATTATACTTTCTTATACTGTACAATAATTATTCATTATAAAAAAAATCTATCATATCCATTAATTTCTTTATTAAATGATGAAATAGTCAGTGCCTGAATAATTTAATAAATTGTCTATGTTTTTGGTTCAGATGGGAAAATGTATATATTTTAAAGAAAGTAGTACTGCAGTAGTCCCTAGTATTGATACAAGTACCGGTAGCTATCTTGTGCATGACATTTGACAGACATTGGCTTGATAATGTCACTTCCGGGACACTGCAAATGGCAACATGTTTGTATATGCAATCAAATACTGGAACTTGATAGTACATACTCTAAAGAATAATATCTCAGATATTCGGCATTAACTAACTTTTTGATTTTAAGGACATTTAAGAGATGAAGTCTATGCTTTGTAAGTGTTTGTTATTATAAATCATCATATGTTGTATTTTGGGGTTTTATACCCTTAGTAAGAGTCTTTGCTTCAAAAACCAGAGGCTACACAAATGCTTGTTGAAACATCTTATACCAAGGTATTTGGAAACGTTTCTTGTTTACAACAATAAAAAGAATGTAATGTACCACTGAATTTGTTTGATATATTGCTGTAAAATTTGTTCTTTGTACTCTATCGTATTATATTAGACAATTCCTCACTTATTCTACAATTACAAGCATAACCTTAGCAGTTGTGTTTCCTCTTTTGTAGGTGGGTGGGGTTTGATTTCCTATCAGAGGTGGGAATTTTAGTCACAGGGTTAGAATTTATTGGAAAGGGTGAGCACATTTCCCATCTTGCTATAGACATCAAGATTTATTTCCATAAAAAATACAAATGTATATTAAAATGGCATTTGTTTGTTTGAATACACACATTGCCAAGTACAATTTAAAATACTGTATATTAAAATATAATTAAAAATGTGCTGTATAAAATTTATTTATGGGCTAATACTAAATGACTATATAGTATTCTGTGATATTTTACATTAAAATTGAGAAAGACTAGTCCTTATGTTGAATGGTAAATAGTTTTTCAAGACTTGGGACCAATATTGTCAAAGAATTGTTATGAGTACAGGAAAGTGGTTGATGTCTAACACTCTCCCATCAACCCCCCCCCCCCAGTCAATATTCCTCAATATGCCACTGAGAAAGTGAGAGGATGTTCAGTTAAGTGCTTGAATAAATGAATTGAAATATCTGATGATTCTATGCAATAACAAGCAAGTATTAAACTGACACATTAAACTTCAGTAGGCCTGTATACTGTAGTCTTATTTGAAATCTTTAATGAATAGATGTGTTGTGTGGTCACACCATCAAGCCCCTCTAATTATGTGTTTTTTTCATGTAAAATTCATATCGCGTGCGTGCGTGTGAATGGATGTGTATCAATTCTCTATTTTATTGCTGGATGGTGTCTTTGGATGATGAGAGTAATAAACATGCGTATTGATGATGTTTGATTGCCTCATTGTACTTAGCTAAGTTGGTATACCTTGTGATAGTTCCACCTGGTGCGTGGGTGTAAACTACAACTACAACAGAAATCCAGAATTAATTAAATTACTGAATATTTCATTTCGTTTTCATTTATTTATTCGACCAATACACATTTACAAAAGGTACAGTACAACACAAATTATGGTCAGGGGCAGCTTAAGCAAAATTTTACTATAACTCATTGAGAGTCTAAGGTTCTTATTATACATATGAGATAGATAGGCCTATGTTGGAAGTGTTCGAGATGCGAGTCCTTCTTCAAATACATTGTCAGATTCTGACTTTGGCAATCATATCTTTGTGGATGTGGGTATGGAAAAATGAATTAAAACTACTGTGGGTTAAAACTAAATAGAAAGAGTGCCTGTGGTGTTAACAAAAGTTGATTGGACTAAAGACAAAATAGAAATTGAATACTATACTGTCCTATTAAAGGAACACATTCAGGGAAAAAAAATGTAAAAAGATATGTTTAATATGGATGTCCCAGAAGCTTCTGAGGATTTTTCCCCGTGGAGGTGGGGGTTTGGGTGCACGACCTCTTTATTTATCTTTTTTGGATCGAGGTGGTGGGGGCTGAACTTTGAAAAAAAAATGCGTGTGCTGTAAACCTTTTGTTACAATAATGAGAACTTAAAATAAATGTGTGTGCTGTAAACCTTTTGTTACAATAATGAGAACTTTTACTTGAAGGGAATGTTTCGTTTGTAATGGTGCCTATCAAAAATAGAATTCTGCCGAAAGATATTTTGCCATGCACATTGACCTTGAGAAATTTGATCACATGTCCACAGCGTGCCAAAAACAGTCCATGATTGGCTGAGCCCAGAATGTAGGCGGTTGATGATGAAAGAAGGATGATGTACTTGAATGAAATAGCTGATTCATTAATATTCTGTGCATTGTATCAGTTAACACCTAATATTTAAATTATGTAAAATAGGCAATTTTAATTTTGATAATTAGCATTGATAAAATAAAAGTCTAATGATGAATATTTTTTCGATATGGGAAGATTATTAAAAGTTAAAATAAATTTGGAAACATATAATTATATTGTTGTTTACCGATTTTGAAAATGGATCAGTCCCCCATCAAAACCCCGCGAAAATTTCCCCCGCGCGCCAACCAAATCAAAACATGAAACAGGAAGTAGTAGTACAACAACAAGTACATCTTTGTTTGACCTTCTCTTCCATATTAGACCGCGATAACAAACGGAGAAGAGCACGTTTTTTGTTTGTCCTCACATATGGTACTTTAAAATTATTTCTTCAATAATTAATATCATATTTGTCGTACAATATATAAAGTGAATATTTTTTATTAAACATGGATGAAAAAAGTGAAGTAAAGCATACTCCGTTAACAGAAGAAAATGAGAATACTCAACCGTCTGATGATTTACTCGTGGACGCGACAATTTCGCATGTTACACCTACACCTGAACATCAATCCCAGCCCGACGAAGATGCGGATGGTGTCCAACTGAAGAAAGAAATTAGTCTATTTAATGGAATAACTGTGATCGTGGGATCCATCATTGGATCTGGTATTTTTATATCTCCTAAAGGTGTTTTAAATTACTCTGGATCCGTTGGGTTATCTCTTCTTGTTTGGGCGATATCTGGCATTTTTTCACTTGTTGGTGCGCTTTGTTATGCCGAACTGGGAACGACGATTGCCGTGTCCGGTGGCGAATATTCTTACATCTATGAAGCATTCGGAGAGTTGCCAGCATTTGTTCTCTTGTGGGTAACATTAATCGTCATAAATCCAACTGGTCAGGCAGTTGTTGCTTTAACATTTGCGTATTATGTTGTTCAGCCATTTTATCCCGACCCAGATTGTCCTCCTCCAGACGAATTCATAAGGATTGCTGCATTGTTATGTTTGAGTAAGTAGTGTTGTAGTACTGTTTGTTCATTTCTTGTTCAGGTTGTCATGTTACTTTTACTAAAGAATATAGCTAATTATAAATATATAATTTTTAGTTGCTGTTTATTTAATTTTCTTATGAATGTGTAATTGCATTTTGAGGAAGAGAAAAGGTATAGCTACAAAATAATCGGCAGAGAAGTAAAGAAGTAGGCATTTAATTTTGTTTGCAAATGTTAATTTAAAGTTTCTTCCAACACTAAACAAGTTTTATAGCGACTAATTTAGGCCTTGTTTGAAACTGAATGGAATTCCATTCATTCCTAACACACGATTGAACTGTTCACTTAAATTGCCGCCTACACACACTCAACTGTAGTATTTCATGAACGCATGGTAGCTGCATGTGGTGTGCTTTCCTTATTGCATCATCTTTCCTGCTGATCACCAATGTTAATATTTATTATATGCAGTTACAGTCAACACCTACTGGTGGCCTATATATTCATTATTGAGCATTTGACGTACTATTGATCGTGGAGTATCATTTACTTAGAAATACAATATTTATGTTTACGCATTTAATGTCTTTTCTTTTGGTATATTGATGTTTTAAAAGGTTAATCTTTATTTCCTATCAATCATCATTAGGCCAGTATTTATATTACAATAATATTGATAGCTTTCCTACATACATAGAAAAAATTGTTATGTTATCGCTCCTGCCCGTGTCAAAAATTAGGGAAATATTTATGTGGGGAAAAAAAATCATTTATTTCAACATTAAAAAAACAGTTTAATTTTATGACTGGAAGTACATTTTCATTTAAAAACAGTAAAATTAAAACAGTTTTTATACAATATTTACAATATTCTTGCCAAATGAAAACAGTCCCTCCCTCAATAATTAAACAAAAAGTAATATTCTATTGTTCCGATTTAAAAAAAAAAAGCCAGACGCAATAATTTTATTTTTAAAGGAGTGATAATCTAATAATTTTTTCTATGTGCCCTTAATTTATTATTCAAGAGTTATTTGGCAATGTTATTATTGTTAATCTTGTGTAATTTTAATTGTAAAATCTATTGTCTTCAACAATTTCTTTAAAATTGGTCTCTATGATACGCAAAGTAATAAGTAATATAAATACTGTATACAGTAAGTACCAGACCTAGGCCTAACACTAAAATTATAAAAAATATATATTATATGTATGTAGTATTAGTAAACCTAAGTTCTACAGTATTATAATAATAAATACTGTAATAATAACACTAAACTGTATTCTTAGCATTACTTAGCAGGACTAAAAAAATTGATTAATGTATGTTAAACATGTTAGTATATGCAGTATCATGTTACAAATATCCATATTACAATTTTACCTGCTTTTGTTTAAAATGAAAGCAGGTACATTTTCTACTATTTTAGGTCAAGTGAAAAATAAAATATAGTACATCATAATTTTAAAGAGAACAGTGGGGTCCTTTATATTTCTATTATTCGTCTCTCTCTCCTCACAAGGATTGCCAGAACACAAGCCTCTAGGACTCTCGCATGAATACTTAATTCCTTTTAAGGATGTTTGTTGAGCAGTTCTGATTTGTTTTCTATTACCTGTAATCTGGGTTTTTATTCTTCTGGTTTGCTGAGACTTAAGTAAACCTGCATGACTGAAAGTTAACTACCACACTAAGTTCAATTGCTTGACCTTGGTTGCCGAATATTCTAACAAAGAATGGCTACGGTAAAAAGAACAATTGATTGATCCTTGAGGGACTTTCTATTTTTTTTGTCTGAGAAATAATAAAAGTAAAATGGAGACTACCCAAAAAATAATGCAGAAAGGGAAAGAAAAACACATTTCCATGTATGTTCCCATTTCATGTGCAACCATGCGTTGATTATAACTGATAACATCTACTCAGTTATTACATTTTTTTCAAAAGAAATCAAAACATAAAAAACATGTTTTAAATAATTGAATATTGAGGTGATTTGAGAATTGGAATTGATTTAAATATAAGAGTGCATTATCTTTAAAATACTGATTTTGGTCTTTAGTAAAATAAACCCAGTTCTGTTGATTTGAGTAGGTAAGTGTTCAATTTACCATTTTTGTTTTATTTTCCAGCTTTGTTGACGTTTATCAACTGCTGGAGTGTGCCATGGTCTACCAAAGTCCAAGATATTTTTACCATTGCTAAGCTGTTGGCTCTTGTAATTATAATAATTGCAGGACTTGCCTATATAGGACAAGGTAATATACTTTAGTTGTTATACTATTATAGCAGTGGTGGGCAAAGTGCATCCTGCGGACTTCATTCGTCCCGACAGTGATTTTTTTTTTTGTGACCCGCGAAAATGTATTAAAAACCCTGTGTGTGCAGCCCGCCAACCATCTTTGGCTAGAAAAAAGTATCTTTTTTTTTTACAGCCCTACACTAATTGATCATCTGTAAAAGTAATATTAAAACTGAGCAATTAAGTATAATAAAAGCTGTGCATGAATGTTTCTGGAAGTGCATTGGAAACCTGAAAGATTAGGTGTGACCCTCAGTGTTGAATCAAAAATTCACTTTGCCAATCTGAACAATGTTTATGCCCACCCCTGTATTACAGTCAGTAATGATGAAAAAAATATTAATAGTAATAATGATAATAAGAATAATATTTAAAGAATAAATGATAGTGATATGGTATCAAGATGATAATGATAAGATTTCTGTGTCTACTGCCTCTCTGGGAGTCAGTAGACACTTAGCTATCATCTGGAAATTTACTTGTGATAGTAAATCTGGTAAGTTGCATGATGGGATATTGCATCATAAGCAAAGATTTATCTCGCTCGAGCCAAGTTGTACCTTTGATTTAAACCATTGTTTAGTAAACGTTTATGCAATAGACACATGCTTCTGCTGGGAGCTGATTTTTTAATGGTGATCTACAATAATTAATAGTGATGATAAAACAGTAATATTTGTAATTCAAAAATTTATGGATACATTATGAAAAAATGCTAATAGACAATTCATGTTGACTGTTGAATGAAATGCAATTTAAATATTCTCAATTTTATGCAGGTCATACAGAAAACTTTAAAAATTCATTTGAAAACAAGATCGGCGGTGATGGAAGCATTGCTCTTGCCTTTTATAATGGCTTATTTGCTTATGCTGGATGGTAAGTGAGATAATCCATTAATCTAATCATAATACGTTTTATTTGAAAGCTCAACTCGTCCTAATTTGGATCTTTTTACAAGGATTAAATCATTCTCAAGTCTTTAATTGTCACCAAAAAGACCCAACATATCATCATGCTGAAAGGTCCACTGATTAATCTCAGTGATACTTTAAACCCCTTTTCACCATAAAAAAAAAAATCTACCATTGTAATTTACGGTCTGCAGTAAAATAATAGAAAAGTTTTCAATGGTGAAAACAATCCATTGTGCTTGTTAATGAAATCAGCTTTTGAAATTAACTGCGTAAGGGTTTTATACAAGGATTAAATCAGAATCTCTTGAAATCATGATAGATTTTAAACCCTATTTCAACATAAGAAAAATCTTAGTTCACTCTCTGCAGTTGAATAATAGGCGTGATAAAAATGTATTGTACTTGGTAATGGAAGTTTAAAGGCAACAGTGTAAGGTTTTTAAAGGATTACATTGCTCTCTTGTGGGAAATAAAGGATACATTTTCACTTAATACATAACTGGCTATAGTTGACCTGTGTTGTGTATAGTATATAGCCAGGTGCCACGTGGAGATTTTTAGTGATGTTCTTGTGCAGTATTTGAGCTTAAAACTGAAAAGTCCGCTGATTAATCTCAGATAAGAAAGTATAATACATACTCCAAGTATTGAAATACACGCCATCGTGCATTTGATCTTGTTTAACAAATATTTCCCTATAGCAACACTGATAAATGCATCCTATCTATCTGATCTGTTTTATTTTTAGCTGTGTATTTTTTATTGTAACATTTTCTAACCAGGAAACCTATGAACAACTAAAAACATTAAATATAATCCCCATAAATTAAATATTATATCAGAATAATTTGCATTAGAAGCAATTCATTTTTTCAAGGATTAGTTAGTCCTATGGGAAATAAATTATTGTTGCCCAGTACAGTACAGTAATTTTGAATTCAATGTTGTTTTTAAAACTTTATTTTTATTATTTTTAATGACTTCTGTGTGCACGAGTGGATTTAAGTTTTTCAGACTTATGTGGGTTTGAAACAGGGGCTTAGCCAGGAAAACGAAGGCTGTCCGAAATGGAAGCCAGTGGGCGTGGCACTGAGCCGATGCCCACTCGGGGCCATTATGATCTTTAGAGGGCATTTAAAGGTGTTGGAATGTTGAAATTTTATCTTTAAAGGAATCAACCATTATTATACTGATAGATTTTAAAACCCCTTTTCAACCTAAAAAATACTACCCCAGCTTATGTTTTGCAGTAGAATAATGGAACATTTTTAAATGCCAGTGAAAATGATGCACTGTGCTTGTTAATGAAAGTATCGTTTGAAAGCAACTGTGTAAGGTTTTGTACAAGGATTAAATCACAATCTCTTAGAAATCAAAGTTTCAATTCTCACCAAAAAAAATCCAACATTATGCTATATACTGATAGATTTTAAACTCTATTTCAACATAAGAAAAATCTTAGTTCACTCTCTGCAGTTGAATAATAGGCATGATAAAAATGTATTGTACTTGGTAATGGAAGTTTAAAGGCAACTGTGTAAGGTTTTTAAAGGATTACATTGCTCTCTCGTGGGAAATAAAGAATACATTTTCACTTAATACATAGCTGGCTATTATACTTGACCTGTGTTGTGTATAGTATATAGCCAGGTGCCACGTGGAGATTTTTAGTGATGTTTAAGCACTCCAACTTGTGCAGTATTTGAGCTTAAAACTGAAAAGTCCACTGATTAATCTAAGATATGAAATTATAATATACTCCAAGTATTGAAATGCACGCCATCGTGCATTTGAGCTTGTTTAACAAATATTTCCCTATAGCAACACTGATAAATGCTTCCTATCTATCTGATCTGTTTTATTTTTAGCTGTGTATTTTTTATTGTAACATTTTCTAACCAGGAAACCTATGAACAACTAAAAACATTAAATATAATCCCCATAAATTAAATATTATATCAGAATAATTTGCATTAGAAGCAATTCATTTTTTCAAGGATTAGTTAGTCCTATGGGAAATAAATTATTGTTGCCCAGTACAGTACAGTAATTTTGAATTCAATGTTGTTTTTAAAACTTTATTTTTATTATTTTTAATGACTTCTGTGTGCACGAGTGGATTTAAGTTTTTCAGATTTATGTGGGTTTGAAACAGGGGCTTAGCCAGGAAAACGAAGGCTGTCCGAAATGGAAGCCAGTGGGCGTGGCACTGAGCCGATGCCCACTCGGGGCCATTATGATCTTTAGAGGGCATTTAAAGGTGTTGGAATGTTGAAATTTTATCTTTAAAGGAATAGTGTTGAATTAGCTATCACAAAGATATTTCAGTTATAGACATGCGCACAGCTACGGTTACTTACATTGTTTCTAGGCTATGCAGATGCATCTTCATCTCTCGCCTTTGTCTAGTGCAAATGTTGTAAGTGTACGGGTAGGCAAAAGCGGGGAGAAAAGCCTTTCATTTTTGGGTAATCCCCACTGAATATTGGTATGAAAACAACATGCATTCAATCAATTAAGGTAAATATGATTAGATTTGAAGAATATAAAGAATTTGCTAAAGGTAGACCAGCCCAATTAGGCTAGGCCAAGCTGATTAGGCCAAGCCGTCACGGTAAAAGTGGCCATCCTAAATAATTGTTGGCCGTCCAAAAGACAGCTCGGTAATTGATGATTACTAATAAAAATAAAATTTTATTTTTGGTCAATTAGCACACCCACCGCCACACAAAAGTGGAAATTTCAGAAAAAAATAAAGTTTTTTAAAATTTTTTGTTTACTCCCTCTGCTGCCTTGAAATCTCCAAAGATAAGATGTATTTATTCCTAATTATATAAATTTGAAGCATTTAACCATCCTATTTTACATTCACCAATAAAATTTTATTTTTATTTTCTCCTCCGTCTGGATGTTTTTGGCAAAACTATTTGCTAAATAAGAATACAAGATTTTGATTTTTATTCCGCCCTGATCCAATGATCTTTAAAAAAATGAGTACGCGAAACAAGGAATAAAAAAAGTCTCGCCTAATATGGTATGTAACTAGAGAACTCTCTTTTATGCCAAGTGAATATTTTCTCTTGGTGCTGTTTATGTATTCTTTCATGTCTTTGGCATTTAAAAAAATATTCATCACATTTTATATAGTTTTTGTTCCCATAGGATAAAATATATTTAATGCAACCTTTAAATTTGTTAACAATGTACCATATGAGGTGATCATTAATGATCTACCACAGTTTTAGACTGCTATTAGCATACCATATGCTACGTATCAACATATTAACCAATATACTCCATGGTGTGAAAATAATTGTTTCTACCATGTTTGTTGCTAGTACAACCGGTGTTGACATCCTGTTGACCTACAATGTGTCTGGGAGTTAGACTGTACATGTGGAACCTTCCAATCGGGCAACTGTTTGAAATATGTTAAAGAATGATATCATTGATGGTAATATGATGTAGATCCACATTACAAAAAAAGTTGCCCAACACTTGAAAATTGTGGCCTCTTGGACTGGAATTGTTTAAAAAATTATTATATTTTTGCAATAGGCCACATCTTGACCTAATTCTTCCAGGATTGATGGTTAACTATCACTTATCCCATGCATTTTGGGTGTTAAAATGGTACATTATCCACTGAGCTAAATTTTACAATATGTAAAGGAGTCAAGATATTTAATTTCTTTGTTTTGATGATTCTTTGTTCTTAATTTTTCTGTTATTAATATTTCTTCTATTTGGTTTTTTTCCAGGAATTACCTTAATTATCTTACTGAAGAAATAAAGGATTCTCCCAGGTATTTATGAATGTTTCAATAGTTGTAATTTGTGTCTTAATATGAATTATTAATTGCGAGAAAGCATAATTAGGTGGGTCTCACTCTGACTTTCTGTCTAGTCGATATGATTTCCTTTAAATATTGACTACCTGCTCCCCATAAACATTCATGCAATGCTTCATTTGCCAAGCATCGTAAAATAGAATCAATACTGTACCAGATATTCACCTTGACGACTGACGAATGTAAGTAAAGTGATGTCTCCCAATTACATACACCTCTCTCTGAATAGTGTTGTAGTTGATAAAATTCATAGTTCAGAGAGTCAAAACTGTGTGGTGTAGTGAGGTGGTGATGGGCCTCAGTGAAAGATAATTGCCAAGGCACGTGATTGGACCCAGAGATAGCCGTAGTGGAGTATACTTAGGCGAAACACTTAATGCTCATGCATTCTGAGATTTTTAAAAACATTGTATATATAAAATATTTTTTTAAATCTGTTAATGGCTTGCTTTTTTTTTGTAAAAAAGTTTAAAATATCAAACAAAATGTGTGGTTGCCAATATATTTAAATTGCTTTAGAAATACCGTATGCTTTCAAAAACTATTTTAGTGCATTGTACTGTGTACGAAACCATACGTACGTAAATACCTGAATTAAGTATATAATAGCTTTGAATGTATTCAACAAATACGAAACTGTTAATGACTTGTTTTTTGGGGGTTTTTTTGTAAAAAATTAAAAGGTCTTCCTACTTGCAGTGTTTGGTAATTAGTAATAGGTAAATTGTAATGAAAATAATCAATAATTATGGCCTCTGAAACCTATTATTGAGGGGTCCTTTTAAAATTAAAGTATGATTTTTTAAAGTTATATTTTTATATCTATAGGCCTATTGAATGGGCCCCCAATAGCCCGGGGCCCTAGGGCTTTTCACTGGCTGCACTCCCTATACCTACGCCACTGTGTATAGCCTCTCAGTGCTAAGAGGCTCTAAGCCTGTGCTGTACAGAGGTGCTAAGGATTGCTTTAGAATAAATTTTCAGTTTTGATAAAGCAAGTGCATACATTTAATTTCTTTATATTGTTTAATATATTTGCAGGAATTTGCCATGGGCTATTATTATTGCTCTGCCATTGGTGACTCTTGTCTACGTTTTAGCAAATGTGGCATATTTTGCAGTTCTCGCACCCGAGGAGTTGATGTTGTCAAATGCTGTAGCCGTCGTAAGTTTAAACAAATAATTAAGTTAGTCTTCCTTGGTTGATTGCTAGTCTAGGATAAATTTTATTTCATTTGGAATACAATCCCATTTTTGTGTTTCACTAATACGAATGGAGATAATTTTGGTTCTGGGATATCTATCTATTTTATTATTTTAATCCAGATTATCATATCATATATCATTTATTTTGTTATTCACTTTTATGAATAAAAACATGACAAGAATGCCAACACAGCCTCAGTTAATACCTGACAGGATTGCTCAAAAGTAAACGAGTTCACTGTCAAGGAGCTCTCTGGATATCAGCTGATAAATTAAAATAATTGTTTTCATGTTATAAATAAATATGATAATTCCTTGAGATAGACCAAATATTACTCACTGTTTTTTGTTGACAGTTTCGCCTGGCTATCAGTCAGGCTTCGTCAGAATCTGTGAAGGGTTTCCGCCGATGCTCGTTGGTAGCGGGCCGCTCCAGCCGTCTTTAGTAGTTGATCATATAGGTGTGAGAGGCGATGTGCGCCTTCGTCTCTATTCATTGTAGTGTTATTTCTCCTAATAAAATTGTGACAAGGTTTATATTGGCGAAACGGGCAGGGCACTAAAAACTAGAACAAAAGAACACATGAAAGATGTTGAGGAACATAACGTTGGAGTAAGAACAAGGGCCGGCAGAAAATCCTCATCTACACAATTACACAAATCGACTCATATGATCGACGGATCATATGACGCAAGAAAATCACATACCAGACTGGGAGAACATCAATATCCTAGGGTGGCTAAAACGGAAAATTAAAGAATCAATATGTATTAATAACGCTACAATGAATAGAGACGAAGGCGCACATCGCCTCTCACACCTATATGATCAACTACTAAAGACGGCTGGAGCGGCCCGCTACCAACGAGCATCGGCGGAAACCCTTCACAGATTCTGACGAAGCCTGACTGATAGCCAGGCGAAACTGTCAACAAAAAACAGTGAGTAATATTTGGTTTATCTCAAGGAATTATCATATTTATTGCTATTTGAAACCAAATGAAACTATTTACCCATGTTATAAATATATATTAAATATATGTCTATGTACATAAAGTGTAATATGTCTATGTACGTAAAGTGTAATATGTCTATGTACGTAAGGTGTAATATATAAAGATCAGTAATACACAGTTTAAATATGGTTTTTGCAAAAGATTATTAATATTAAAACTGTAATAAAAAGTGATTCAAACACGTAAGAACCAGAATCTTTGAATATATCATTTTTAATCACTCTCTACTCTAATGAACATTTAAAAAATGTGTGAATACAGTATATAAATTTCTCATTAAACATTATGTTATACAGTGTACATATTATAAACACAATATATATAGATTTTTCTTTCAAATGCTATCATAACAAAATTTCAGACTCATGAGCTTTTTTTATTTTACAGTCATTTGCTGTGAAAGTTCTTGGACCAATGGCCTGGATCATTCCATTTGGTGTCGCACTTTCAACATTCGGGGCCGTTAACGGTGGAATTTTATCACAGTCAAGGTAACGCGGAACTCCATCTCCACCCATCTTTTTTTTTTCTGACATGCCTACTGTTCTAGTGCAAGTATTATCATATTTAATAAATATTACTGTATTACTATATGCCAGTCAGCAGTTCTAAAGCCATCACAATTCTAATTTATATTTTTAGGTTATTTTTCGTGGGTGCTCGAGAGGGACAGCTGCCTAAGTTGATGGGGATGATTCATGTGAAGCGGTGTACGCCTCTACCATCCATCTTCTTCACGGTAATTTAGTGACCATTAGGAAGTTTTCACAAGATTATGAAAGCAGTAACAAATACGGATACGTCATCAAATTTTTAGAAAACCCTTCAGTAGGATATTTGTCACAACATAGTCAATTCATGGCCTTTGCATTAATCAAGCTTCGTATTCAGCTCGTACAACATATAGTCAAGTATGTTTTAGGCATGAATAATGATAAGATGTATTTGTTATTGTTTTCGTAAGGTTTCGAAAACTTCCTAATATCCAGTTCCATCTACCGTTATCAATTCTCGCCTGTTTTATCATTGCTTGTTTTCCCTTGTCCTACCAGTTTTTATTTCCATTTGTTCAACCAGCATTAATTCTGGTATTTTTTGTTTCTGTTGTAATGTATTGTAGTTAGATTTATATAGTACTTTATAGCAAATGGGTCTCAAAGTGCTTGAGATGTGGGCTAGCTCTTGCGGTAACTTGCTTCTCCCCTAAGGGTCTCTTCATGTCTGAGCTACCTGGTATGCTGGTACCAGCTACTTTCGTCTTTCCACAACAGCGGCTGAATAGCCCAGTACACCCGGGTGTAACCCCCTATTTGTCTCAAAAGATGTATTGGGTTCTTGAAAATACAAATTGTGTACACTTGTCCTATGGTTTAAATTGAGTAAATTTTTAACAATGGTTTGTAGTTTTCACTAGCAGTCTCCTAGTATTATTAGCTTGTCAACTGGAAACATTTACAGTCATTATACACAATATTCAGTTTCCTCAAGTCCTGATTCAGTATTTCTAATCCAGCCTGTTCCAGGTCAGAGCATAAGCATTCAACGCATAAAAATTATGAATACCATAAGCTTAATTGCATTTTTCATGAAATGAATGTGAACGAAAGTCTGATCGTATACATATTTCATACAGTAATTCATAATTTTATTCCTCTAAATAAAATTTAGATTGTAGCAAATATAATGAAATCATTCCCGTACTAGCATTATCTACCATATATACAATACTTACCATAATGTAAATTAACTGTGAAAAGGCAATTGTGCAAAAGATGACAAAATAGAGACAGAAGGGAAAAAAAATTGATTGGGAAAAAAAAAAAAAAAAAATTCTTTATAGCAGACTTATTATTTTTCTCTTTCAGTGCATACTCTCATGTATGTATGTGTTCGTATCGGAGATTGATACTCTTATCAACTACTTCAGCTTTGTTACCTGGCTTGCGATTGGAATCGCAGTTTGCGGTTTGATATATCTGCGATTTAAAAAACCCGAATTGGAAAGGCCATTTAAGGTGAGCAGGATTCTATATTGTTTGTTGGATAATTTGAATCGCTTGAAGTTGCAATGCTATAAGACACTGGGAATTCATAAAAAGATACTATCAATGCAAATTTGAAATTTGGTCTCCATTAATAATTACTTGTGTTTGCATCTGTTTATGTATTATTCACCCAGGCTCTATGTACATATATTTAATGGTTTTGTTTCTGGTATCTCCCTTTTCTTTGCATTGTGCTAGGCCTATGCTCATTTGATGTAACTGGCTTTCAGTTGTTTTGTTTTACATTGATTGATGTAATTGTATTTTACTTGTGTATGGATGCACTATCACTGTGATGGGTGCCGCTGTTTCAAAAGTGATTTCCAAATAAATATTATTAATTCACAGGTAATGCTATATAACTCAACAAAATTAAAAATAAATAAAACAGATATATAAATTTACGCTCATAATGACCGAAGTTCTATGCTGCGAAGAACAGTGGGGAGGCTGTGGTGCGAAGAACAGTGGGGAGGCTATGCTGCTAAGCTCAATGGGTAGACTATGCTGCAAAGAAACTGCTGCAGAGTGTTAAAAAATATATTTCTATTTTATATTGATCTAAATTTTTTTCTTGCAGCTTAATATTTTCTTCCCTATAATTTTTGTGTTGGCGTGTCTCTTTTTGACTGTAATGGGAGTAATCGATGCTTTTTTGGACACAATTATTGGATTGGTCATCACCCTAACTGCTTTTCCTATATATTTCTTATGTATCCGATGGACGGATAAGCCTGTTTGTTTCCTGCGAATGATAGGTAAATTCAATTTACTACATTGATACTGGTCTCCTAGCATAATAATGAAATGTCCAATTTAAGGCTGAGATCAATCATTGACATCCAAACTCCTTTTCTGAAAAAATAAATCATAAGCAAGGCTATTCTCTAGATCATTTGCATTGTTAACATACATGCATCAGCTGCCATTGAGAAAGTAGATTAGAACTAACTTAAAAGGTAGAAAATCAGTGATGGTGTCATAAGAAGATATTTAAATATATTATCTAAAAAATACCATAAAAATATAATGTGAAAATTGTATTTTTTTTTATTGAATATTTACAATATTTTAATCACTTGAAATATTTTATTTTCAGCATCTACAAGTTTTTGGTTCCAGAAACTCTTCATGGTTGTTGGGCAACAGAAACTTGATTAATTAAAGTAAGATGGAATTGTCCATTCATTGTTTATGTTTTTAATGAACAGATTATATTTATTTATAGCTTAGTTGATTGATTGACAGGTTGACGGCCCTTGTGTGTAAGTGTCATCGAGCTGGTTTGTTTTTTATTGATATTTTTGATACATTTTTTTTTTTCTTTTGTTGACCAAAGGTCATTTATTCAACAATCAAATATATACATTAACATCAAATCTTTATGTAAATTGTTTACTTCACCTGATGAAGACAAGACAAGTTTTGGAATGTAATTACAGTATAAATATATAATATGAAAAAAATAACTCCAAAAACTATTAAATAAGCGATTGGAGCCCAAACATTTTCCTTTTTTATAAGTTTTTTTTTCTAATTAAAGATACTCATACGAATGATACACGTTACCAAATGCTTGCGAAAAATATCTCACAAGTGATTTGGGTAGGAATCCAACTCACAACCTCCAGATAACTAGTCTGGTATCTATACCACTCGCAAGCTCGGTCGTCAACTTGTATATTCAGTATATTTTCTACTTTTAAATTTTGACCTTTTTCAATTTGAAGGAAGTGTGTACCCACCCATCGCACCCCATTGGATATGGGCCTAAAATTCAGTGACATGATGTGTCCAACTACCCCAGATTTCTCATGTGACTTACTTATATTTGTTTCCTTTTTTCTTTTCAGGGAGCTTCTTGTAAACAAATTTACTGGAGTAAAGCAATACGATGATGCCTATACAAATTTAAATACATAAAACTGCCTATCAAAGACTAATTTTTTTATTACAACAGTGATAGCCTTTCTCAAAAGCAACGATAAAGAATACAGTAATGGTAATGGTTCTAAGAAACGAAACTTTTTGGTGTTTTTCATTTAAAATGTGATGATATCATAATGGGGGTTGATCAGTTTAAAATGTTTTTCTACACCGGTAAAAGATACTTTGGTATCAGTTTCAATGATTCATAAAAAGAATAAATATAAAAACAAAAACAAATAATTAAAAAATTGTTTTGTTCCTGTCAAATGTTTACAGGGACAAAGATGTATTTAAAACGAGTATGGTACTTAATTTAGTCTAATATTGGAGCGCATTACTTCAACCATCATTTTGGTATTTTGGAAAGGGTAAAAAAGCATTCCGATTAGAAAAAGAGTGAAGTTGTTTGCATTTATTTATTGTGTGCATGTACATATAAGCTATTTTTGGCTTGTTAATTCATGTTTGTGTAATTCCAGCAAAAGAACAGTGTTTAAAACACTTATTGCAGTTATTTATACGTAGTTTTAGGTATATGTATGCAATATACGTAAATGATTATTTAAAATATACACAAAACATATGGAATGTCTTTAAATGTTGAATTTAGTTGAAAAATACAATAGTGTCAGCTAGGTGAGACTGATTAAATAATTTTATGCAAGAAAAATGCAGTCATACTTGTATCATAGATCATGATGTATCATTAACTACACTGTTGTGGTACTTGGCATATTTAAACATACCATCATAAACAAATTGTATCGGGCCAACTTGTCAAGAGATTGAGCAGCCTTTAACCTTAACCACGCCCGTAAGTAGGCTTTCTTATGCGGCTTACCTATGCCTCAGTGGGGTTTTTCAAGTTTTTGCTGTAAGGTGTCGGGGGAATATTGATGGTCATGGTGAATTTCATCACCATTTTGATGGTTCAATTCATTTGTGGGCTGAGAGATTCGTTCGAGAAGTCCTTTGGCCGAACCTTGTTGCTGGTTCTTCATGATTGCTATTCATCCGACATGCCATAGTACATAAAACAGTGAGACCAAATGTTAGGGTTAAGTATGCTCCACCAATCAGCACCTCAGATTTGCGTAATATCGTGAGATAAAAGACCTTCCTAGTAATGACTGGAGGATCATTACAACTTGAAGCTAGCATACCTGTATTTATATGAAACTCAGTCCACACTATCAAATTTTCTTTGACTGTTGTATGCCCATATATAGTCATGATGTACCCATATATGGTCATGATGTGCCTATATATGGTCATGATGTGATGTCATCATGACCATCTTTAGGCATGTCACATGTTTGTCAAATAAAAGTGTTTGGACAAGGCTTAACTTTCTCACTACTCCTCATATTAATTATGCAAGGACAAAACTTTTTCATGTTAAGTGGTAATTGCTAATGGATTAATTATAATCATTATAAGTATACTTTGGCAGATCCAGTAAGTGGGCACGGGGGTAACATATCCCATTTTTGACACTAAATTAACCTTCTCACTACTCCTCGTATTAATTATAGCCAAGACAGAACTTCTCCATGTTTTGTGGTAATTGCTAATGGATTAATTATAATCATTATTAGTATACAGGGGTAGATCCAGTATGGGTGACAGCAACCCCCTCCACTAAATTTTTAAATATCAGTGAATGAATGAATGTGTTGCTGTCCACAGCATTTATTTTGTCCAATACAGTATACATTTAGAATACATCAGAAAATTGTCTTTTGTACACAACAGATTTTTTAAGAAAAAAAGAAAATGTGGAACGTCAAGGCAAAATAAAAACATCAATACGGCGGAAAAACTGTACATAAGTCAATTAAATAATGAACATTTAGAGAGATTTTCTATACAAAATTCAAAATTAATAACAGTATAAAATGTACCTGTGTTTTGTGTTACTTGTCTATTCTGAAACTGTTGTTTAAAAAGTTCTGGTTCCACCCCTGGTGTAATAGAACTATATAACTAAGTTAATGTACCATTTTTGGAATTCTTTTGAAGTCTTCCAACACATTGACAGTACTAAAAAAAACACAAAAAAAACCATACTTTTTGTTGCCACCTGTGTGTAATCGTAAATTGCAAAATATATTAAAATGCTTTTCTTTGATACTTGCAATGAAAATTAATCTTCTATTGAGGGGATAACTTTACGTTTTAATTCTAAATTGTATAAATGTTTTGTATTTCAATAATTTAAATTTCGTCTGGAAAGTGGAGATAGGTAATCAATTGAATCCCCTTAAAATATTCCTGAAAATATGTGTATAGAATTTCATAAGCGCACTTGTCATAGAATGTTGGTGTGTTCTAAATTAGTTAACTCAGAAAGCACATGACTGCAACATGCGAAATGAGGCTATTCTTTCTGTATATTGATACACACTGAGACTGTGCAATGTGTCCCTCAGACGAGACACTTTTTTAATACCTTGTTGAGCAAACTTGCTGCCTGCCAATAATGATGATTTTGATTAAAAATGAAATTTTGTTTTTTGGACACCCACCGCCATGAAAAAAGTGTGTTCTTTATTTTTACTACGCCAGCTGCTGCCTTAAAATTTCCAAAAATAAGAATTGTATATTTCTTACTGAATTTAACTATCCTTTACTACACTGTTTACACTCACCAATAACATTTTATTTTTTATTTTCTCCAATGTTTGGCAAAACTATTTGCTAAATAAGAAAAGTTTGTGAAACAAGGTATATGTGAATTTCCTGCAAGTCCTTGAAAATATACTGCATTATACAGTATGTGTTATAAAAAATAACGAAAAGCTTACCTTGTATGGAGGACCCACCAAGAGTTAAGCCATTGAGTTACCTGTACAATTCAAAGTGTCATATTGTTGATGTTACGATGCACATATGTAGTTTAAGAACATAAATTAATGTTGGCTTAAAAGCTGTGTTTGTACCCAACTATAAGATCAGTAGTGTAAATAAAGAGTAGAGGTAGCTCTTTTGTATGTATTGTGTTTGTTCATTCGCCTCCAATGTTATCTGTTTTGGAATGATAACCGTGAAGTTGATGGTAGATATGTATGGGATGATTCTGATTATTATCTGTTTTATGATGATAATGCAAATGATGTTGGTTTAATTTAATGATACTGAATTTTAAGCTCTGTCCCGATTACCAAATTTTCTTCGACTAAAAAACTGTATGCCCGTATGTAGTCATGATGTGCCTATAAATGGTCATGATGTGATGTCATCATGACCATATTTAGGCATGTTTTTGTCAAGTAAAATTTGATATCCTGGACAGGGCTTTAGCTACTATTGTGGTGTATATGTAGTGAGATTGAGCATTCACCAGCATAAATACATAATAGTTTAATGCGAAGCAAATTGTTTCACAAATATGTGGTGGCGTCAGCAAAATACCTTTAGGAATGCTACTTAGTGATCAAGTTTGTGGCATATATGTATGGGGGTACGCGGAGGGCCCCCAAAAAATAGTCGCCCTTCCTCCCCCCCCCCCCAAACATTCACGTTCAAGTAGTTAAAGAAACACCTCATATCATTTTATTTTGTCAGCAAGCCCCTCACCTAATCATCAAGTTCCCTTCCCCACTCCATTTCAACTCCAGATATGCCACTGACTGTAACATCAGGATACATCAGTTACTGTTTAACCATCAGTGCTCAGTGTAGCAGTCTGAGGTCGTTCCAGAGAATTGCAATGAAAGGTTTTCTGTTGCTTCGCAGTGGTGGCGCCAGGATTTGCCCGAAGGGGGGGTGGGGGGTGGGGTCCGATTAACTCGACGTAAAAACTGGGCGTGGTCGTGAGTCTCAAAATTTCTCGGTGTTCCACGGGGGTGAAAAATATGACAATTTAGAGGTTTTAAAGGCTTATTTAATCGTTTTTGGGTCTACTAATATGTAGGATATACTGATAATAATAATAACTTATATAGCGAATTTTCAACATGCTTTCCAAAAGTAAAGCTAGATAACCACACCACAATGGCACCCTGTGAATAATATACCGGTGGGTGCACCTTAAATTGCCAGAAGGTGTGGTGGTGGTTTTTACTGTCCATGGCGATTAGTTTGGTTATTTCTTGTTTTAGTTCTTTTTCGGTTTTTTTGTTTGTTTGTTTGTTTTTTGTTTTTTTTTGCACTATAGTAAATATAAACATTACTGTATTAGTATTATTATTGAGTAGTTAATCGAAACACATTTCAAAATGTTTACGATTATTCAAACAAACGTAATAAAAGGATGTTGATGATTTGTTTTGTCGACGACGACGTTGATGTTAATGATGATGATAACTGGTAATGCTGATGAAGATATATGGTGACGGTGATGGTGATAATGACTACGAATCTGACGATGATGACAACGATAATATAATTATGGCGGCGAATATAGCGATTATTATTATCCATAGACTGGATTCCAGTCTCCAAATTTTGTCTTAATCAGATTTTGGCACCAATAGCTTTCCATTGTTATTACTTAATAACTATATACTATATAGTATATACTATACTATACTTTTTCTGGGTTAAATTCCTATCCAAATTCTACAACAAAACAAGTTTCTCCACATAATCAGCGCCCGTGGCGCTCTCCGAAATTATCTAATACATTACAGTACTAGGAAAAATCGATGAATTAGAGACTTGTGGGTAGTGCCGCAAATATAGATCAGTAATGTACTGTACGTTCGGATAGGCTCACTGTAGAGGGCACTGTGCATAAAAACTAATACATCATTATAATTATACAAACTATATATA